AAGTGTAATAACTCAACCTAATATTAAAAATTGGCTTTACATTACTACCGTTTCTCCAAAGTATTTAAAATCTACTCTTGGTAATATTTATGAACAGTACATTCATTTCACAACAACAGGAAATCTAAAGTTCTCTGCTGTAAATGGTTTATCTTTCTGAAATAATAAAACCTCACTTAGTCACAAAGACCAAAAAATTTAATATTTATTATTACATTAGACCAGACAGTGGAGTACACTCTGAGAAAACACTAACAACACTTTTATTAGAATCTAGGAAGCTCCAACTTACCTTCATCCTCTGTAACTGGTTGCTTTATTAACGTTTCCAGGGCAGCACTATAATCTTCTAAAATCCAATGTGCCATACTCCGAAGAAAGGGATCATGATGTGCATTTATGTTCGATGAACTGAGTTCACTGACTGGAGAACCAATTCCCAAAACTTTTTTGCGTAAAATAGATTTGTATGTTGTAGACTTATCAAATTCAGACTCAAAGAGTCTTGCTATTACAAGAGCCAACTGAATGTCATTCAGTTTCTCAAGACATACCTTAAAAAATATTGTTTATAAATAAAGTCAGCTTTTAAGAGAAACTCAACCCATTTACCATAAATGTATAAGGATTTATTAATCTCTAAATTTTATAAGCAATAAATGCAATAATGGCATGCACATTGCCTACTTTAGTATATTAACATTTATAACATCTGCAAATCTATCTGTTATTACTAAGCATGTATTTACAAAATAATCTGACCTGAGGAAATGAATAACTCTACCCAGTATAAACTTATAATTTTTACTCTTAAATCTCAACTCTTCTCAATTCATCTGAGCAGACTAGAATTTTAAAATAAAAAAGATATTTTTCTCAAGTCCCTTAAGTAAAATAATAGCCAGATATACTTAAAGTGTGCAGAGTCATATGAATTACTCATTTTATGAAACTTGTTTTATCAGTTCTGTAAAATATCACTCCAGCTAAATAGTAAAAGTGTAAAAGATATTGTGAAATATTATCAGTTACTTCAGGTACTTAGCCTTGTATTATTTCTACTAGTTAAATTAAAATTTAAAAATTAAGATTTAGATGAATTGCTTAAAGAAATGATAACGCTAATTAAAAAAGAAAGTTTAATTATTTACCTCGATTGCATCTCTGAGGCAACCACCTAAAAGAAAAAAAGCTGCAGAATGTTCAAACCTTTGCTTGCCTAATAAAGAAAAGGCATTTTTCAAAGCTGCTTTACGCCATCTCTCTTCCTCAAAATTGTGTCCAAAAAACTGTGTCATTTTGGTGTCTTTTTGAGATCTATAAGGGAATGAAATTTATGAAAATTTTAAACTACTACTTAGGAATCAGCCTTTTACACTTAGGACTTCAAAGTTGGGACTTTCAAGGAGTAAGATGGATAATTCGAAGGCAGTCCACACTACAAAGCAATATCCAGTTACAAGAGAAGTTATAACAATGAAAACAAAACATGTGCCAGTTCATAAATCACTATGAACCTGCATCTTTACCAATAAAATAAGATTAAGTAAGCATTTACTTATATACGTAAATCTCACAAGTTATTTAAAAATCCTCTTACAAACTGCAAAGTGAAATGCATTCATTAGCAGCACTAAGAAAAACACATCACCTTTAAATCCATGCAGAATAATTTTACTAATACATATTTACATTAAGATAATTTACATATTAACATTCACACTAGTATAAAATTAAAACAACATCAGTAATTTTATTCTACCCATTTAAAAATGACTTTGGTAATCAAAAAAAAAATCAATGGAATCTGATAGAAAACAATCCTGAAAAACCTTAGATTCTTAGAAAATTCATATATTTAATATCAAAATTTTCTGTAGAGGCTGCCATTCTGAAACAGAACCTCCACCACATGGTAATCATAGAGAGCAGGTGCTGTTGACAAGTGAGAGCACAGAGACGACAGCACCTAGAAAAGGAGCAGTTTCAGGGACCCTGTGGCTCCTGTCCTCAAACACCAGAGGACAGATGCTCATCCCAGACTCCACTGTCCTCTCCTCCTCCCCAACACTGATGCAAATTCATCTGGACAAGTTTGTTTTCTACTCCACTTCCTCCCTCCCTGCTTCTTGGTGATGAGAGAGATGTTCTTAGAATAAGCAAATAAGAAAACAAACAAACAAACAAACAAACTTGTTTTTAGAAGGATGAATGCTAAACAAACTGAAGTGACACCATCTGGTTTCTTCTCACATGGAACACATGTAATCTTTTTCCCTATCAAGTATCTCCTTTCACATGAAAAGCAACTAAGAACATATTCAATAAAAACCTTGTTTTACTTTGTGCATTCACTCTGAATGAAAGTGACTTTTAGCTCTGAAGCAGTTTTTACTTACCTATATAATCCCCAAATCACAGCTTTTTTTTTCATTGCAAGGTAAAAAATTGCAGCATCTAAAGGATCATTATTTCTATGAAAGGCTGCTTTGGCTACCTACGATTAGAAAAAAGTCATCAATCTTTTACAGAAGTAGCTTGAGAGTGAACAAATAATTTCTCTTATATAAAAGATTAGTACATGCTATTTCTATGTTAAAATTTAAATAAGCATAAGCATATAAATAAGCATACATGCATAAATAAGTACATGCACATATCACAAATGGTAAGAGAACCACTTATAGTAGCAGAGTATACACAGAAAAGGTGACAGGGCTACAGAAGCCCTCCTAAACTATTGTATTTTTTCTCAACAAATACTTCAGAAATTCAGAAGTATACCAGTAAATAAATGTGTTAACTAGTGATTGAGGACAGATAGGCCTCATGGCAGGAGGCTAGAATCACAACAGCTCAAGAGTATGAGACAGAAGAAATGCATATTCAAGGCTAGCATAAACAATGTACTGAGATCACTAAATATAAAAAGTCAAAAGAAGGCTGGGCTAGGGACTCTGCTCACTGGTATAATGCTTACTTAGCATTCAAAAGACCCTACATTCACACCTAACACAATACGCACAAATTATGATGCTGTTTCTAAAACAAAATAACTACTATCAGAAGAGACAGGATGCCATTAAAGAAATATCCAAAATATACTATTGTTTTTACCCAAATAAAAATACTTACCTTTTCTATGCATTTGCGCAAGATGCGAGAATTGCGAACCCACCACCCCACACCCATTGCTCTCAGTTCCGACCAAGTCGGATCATCTTTCTGCATGGCTGGCAACATATTCAACAGTTCTTCTTCTGCTACCGAGTGAAATGCCCAAGCAAAATGACCAGTAGAGAGGCCTGAAGAAATGTCAAAAATGACACTTATCAACAATGCAAATATTATACAGCGATCATCAGAAATGTGTATATTTGTGCAATAAACATATAAATGGTTTTAGATTTTTAATTATTTACATAAATTAACTCCAAATAACATCAGTTAATATGTCAATGAATTGTGTATATCATTTAAGACAATCCAGTAAAATGATATATTCTTTAACTTTGCGGAGTCCTTCTACTGTAACAAATGAAAGAGTAAAATCTTGGAAATAGCATAAGTGAAAGTTTAAAGGATTTTAAGGAACTGTCACTAAGTACCCATCCTGTGTGTATGATTTAAGAAAACACTTCTAGGTTTATCCTCTCTGAGGCTACTTAAAACCATGATGGTGACAAGTCTGAACTGAAATCAGATGCTCTGGGGCATAGTCTTGATCTCTTAGGACAGGCCTTTTGCTCTTGAAAAATATCTGCCTTACCACCTTTGCAAATTGCTACATACATTAATGAGAAGTCCTGTCCCCTTTCAAAGCTTTTTCCAGGCTCATAACCACACATGATTTTTACTGTTGCTAGAAATAAGACTTATTTTTTTATTCTTGAATCTCCAAACAATGATACCACTCCAATGAATACAATTAATACCTATTTCTTTGAAAACATACAAACACTTATAGGAAATGTCACTGTGCTGCAGTATTTTTGTCCTGACTGTTACCCATAGACTTCTTGAGAATATAAGCAATTGGGAGCACTGTTACATAGGGGTGTGCTTTCCTCTAGTACTGTTTCTCTTTTCTCTCAAACATCTGTTTTAGATATTCTAACTCCATAGAATTAAAGAACTTCATGGAATCAAATAAAAAGTATAATTCAGTACATCAAGCATAGCACATCAAGGACTCCAAAATTAGGGCTGGAGAGATGGCTCAGAGGTTAAGAGCACTGGCTGCTCTTCCAGAGGTCCTGAGTTCAATTCCCAGCACCCACATGGTGGCTTACAAGCATCTTTAATGATATCTGGCGCCCTCTTCTGGCCTGCAAGCATATATGCAAGCAGAACACTGTATACATAATAAATAAATAAATCTAAAAAAAAAAAAAAGACTCCAAAATTAGAACACATACATTATATTTCAGTTATACTACAAAATAAAATATATAACCTTGGGAAAGTTATTACATTTTTAAGTGACTCAGGTTTTTATTAAGAAAATGTGAATAAAGGGTTGGAGAGATGGCTCAGTGGTTAAGAGCACTGGCTGCCCTTCTAGAGAACTCAGATTCAAGTCTCAGCATACATGTGGCAGCTTACAACTGTCCGTAATTCCAACTCCAAGAAATTTGACATGCTCACACATACATGCAGGCAAAACACCAATGCACATAAAATAAAAATAAATAAATCATTTAAAAAACAAACAAACAAACAAAAAAACCAGGGAATAGTGGCTCATGCCTTTAATCCTCAGCACTTGGGACGCTGAGGTAGGAGGATCTCTGAGTTCGAGGCCAGCCTGGTCTATAGAGCGAGTTCCAGGCAGTCAAGGCTACATAGAGAAACCCTGCCATGGAAAATAACAACAACAACAAATGAAAGAGGTGGGGGGCAGAGAGAGAGAGAGAGAGAGAGAGAGAGAGAGAGAGAGAGAGAGAGAGAGAGAGAGAGAGAG